ACAACCTCCCCCCCCCCAAAAAAAATAAGCGCTTGGCCTTATATTGGGGGAGCTCTTATTATTTTTGAGGTGCAGGAGGCAGCGAGCATGGTCACCTCGTGGCTGCTGCTGTGTTGCAATATTTTCAGGGAGGGCTTATTTTAGCCCATGCGCACAAAAGCCCCATTGGGTTTATTATCCGGGGGAGGTCTTATTTTCGGAGAAACCGGTTATTTCAGATGATTGGCTGCCTTCCGCGGTAACCACCCCTTTAAAAAGGGAAATCCAGCCGCTTTCTTGTTTATGATGATCATTCCTGATCAGATTTATAATAACAGAGCCGGAAGGGGCCTTGTGGGTCATCTTATAAACGTCCCCCGTTGGGAGAAATGGGCTAAGAGGTGCCTGTGTGTAGCTTAGCCAATCTCGCCAATGTTGGAGATCCCTGGACTAAAGGTTTGAACTGGGGATCTTTGGAACCCAATCCCATGTGCCAAGAGTGTGGGGCACTGGGGAAAGGGGGGTGAGGAGCCAGAGGAGCCCCCTGTGGCACTTGGGGCTGCCCCCCCCCCCAAGCAGCCCTAGAGCCCATTTGGGCAGGGATGGAGGTGCTGGATTAGGAGCAGGGAGGCCCAGATTGTGCTCCCTCCTTAGCCACAGAGGTGGCCAGACCACCTTCCTGCTTTCCAGCCCAGCCCCCTAACAAACAGGCTTGCTGGGGGGGGGGGAGGAGGAGGGCTGGTGACCTTGAGCTGCTAGAAATCTTGGAAGCAGCAGACAAATGAGCTGTGTTTTCCTCCTAGGAAGAGAGCCAGGACATAATTGGTGGATTTTCTTTGTCTGATTCACACCCACGTGCCCTGGTTGGGGTGGGAGTGGGGGTGGGGGAGAGGGCCACTTGCTACATAGGTATCCCCCTTCCACCCCACCTCTGACTCAGTCCTGGGGCTCGGCTGAGTTCAGCATTCCGAGGGCTTCACCCATTCAGTGGTGGGGTTGGGGGTTTGGCCAGGGCACCCCTTTTGCACGCTGAGCTGTGAAATGAGACGGTCATCTGAACGGGGAAGGCCAGACGGTGAGATGGGTGGCATACACAGGTAGTTCTCGACTTACAACACTTCATTTAGTGACTCTTCAAAGTTACAACAGCATTCAAAAAAACAACTTATGGCCATTCCCCCCCCCCCCCCGTTTAGATCTTTGCCGCATTCCCGTGATCCAAATTCAGACGCTTGGCAACTGGTTCACGCTTATGACCGTTGCTGCGTCCCAAGGTCAAGTTTTGCGAACTCCCGACAAGCAGAATCCATGGGGAAGCCAGATTCACTTAACAACGGTGGCAAGGAAGGTCACAAAATGGGGCAAAGTCACTTAACAAGTGTGTCGCTTAGCCACAGAAACGTCGGGCTCGGTGGCGGTCGTAAGTCGAGGACTACCTGTAGGTTTGATAAAGAGAGAAACGAGCGTGCTGGTGAAGGCTTTGGTCAGCCTTGGGACCCTCCACCGGCTGTTGACTGAGTGTCTGCCTCTCTCCTCCCCTCAGGTGGCATCACCCACGACACTTTCCAGAAGGAGCTCATGTGCTTCGACCCCGACACGGACAAATGGACACAGAAGGCCCCCATGACCACGGTGAGGGGCCTCCACTGCATGTGCACGGTGGGCGATAAGCTCTACGTCATCGGGGGCAACCATTTCCGGGGCACCAGCGATTACGACGACGTGCTCAGCTGCGAATATTACTCCCCGACCCTGGACCAGTGGACTCCCATCGCGGCCATGCTGCGTGGCCAGAGTGACGTCGGGGTGGCTGTCTTCGAGAATAAGATCTACGTGGTGGGGGGCTACTCGTGGAACAACCGTTGTATGGTGGAGATCGTCCAAAAGTACGACCCGGAGAAGGACGAGTGGCACAAGGTCTTTGACCTGCCAGAGTCCCTGGGGGGCATCCGGGCCTGCACCCTGACAGTCTTCCCCCCTGAGGACAATCTAGCGTCGCCTTCGCGGGAGTCGCCTCTTTCGGCGCCTTGAGAACGGTCCCGGGAGGGGTCCCCCGCGGGAACCCTTGCTCTCCTGCTGCGTCGCGCCATGGGTCCTCTCCTCGTCTTCAGCAGCTTCTATAGGGCTTCTTGCCCTGAAGCTGTAGGCAAATCACAGGTGGGGTGGGGTTGGGGGGGTCTCCGAGGAAAGACGTGACGGTCCACGGGGTGTTTGGTCTGGGGAGTTTCTGGCGGTGGGCCTGGAAAATGCTGGACCTCCAAAGGCTCAACGAAGGAGGAGGAGGAAACGGCAGCGGCTCCTGTTGGTTTTCCACTCGCGGGAGAGGGAAGGAAGAAGATGGGCTGAATGGCACCTACCAGAGCCCCTTGGCCAAGCCTGGAGGAGAGCTTCCTCATGGGTGGGGAGAGGACCCTCCCCCCTCTCTGTCTCTGGCCCCAGCTGCCTCCCCCCTCCCCCTCTGAATGAATGGAGCGTTTTAGACTTCATGCCCGGGACTCTGCGTGAAAAGGCCCTGCAGGAGTTTGGAAGCCGTGAAGGAGGGAAGGGCACCTGAGGTGACCTTGGGTCTGTACATCGGGGGTGGGTGGGGAGGCTTCCCCTCCCCTGCTGCCCCCCCCAATTAAAAAAAATGAAGCATTGACTGAGGGTTTTTGTTCTTTTTCTCTGCCTTCTGTTCTCCTTCTCCCCGTCGCTCGGGTGATTCGTGGCCTGGCAACTCCGTGAGGTCCCTTGCACTGGATTTCCCGAGAGACAAGGGCTAGAACTCTCTCTGAATTAAGCCACTCCGCGTTTGACCAGAGTGTTTCCTCCGGATGAAAACGCGCCTGTGGGCCTTGCCCCCCCCTCCCTCTACTCTCCGGCCCCACGGGGGGGGGTTCCTTTGCCTCTGACCACACACACCGCCCTCCCCGTATCAAATCTCAGTTCAGACGGTTATTCAGCACAAACACAGCTTGGGACAGAGCTGCTTTTTTTTTTGCTCAGAGAATTCAGCCTCTGCCCTGTTTCCTTTTGTTCAATAAAATCTTTAACTGCAATTAGGTGGGAGTTTGTTCTTGAAATGAAGGGCTCCGCTCTCTTCTTCCCGCTCTCGCCTCCCGTTGCCAGGTAACCCTTTTATGTGTATGTTGTGTGGTGTGGGGGGAAGCACAGCCGGCTGGGCTCTGGTTCCGCAGGAGCTTCCAAAGGGGTGGGGGGAGACTTGACGTACTTTTCCCGCAAACTCCCACGGGATGCCCAAGCAGAGCCTGTGGGGCAGAGGTCCCCAAACCTGGCAACTTTTAAGACTGGTGGATGTCAATTCCCAGAATTATACAGCCAGCAGAGCTGGTTGGGGAATTCTGGGAGTTGATGTCCACCAGTCTTAAAGTGGCCAAGTTTGAAGACCTCTGATCTAAATGGAGAGATTGCAGAGGAAGGGATTATAAGAGAGTAAATTCTGCTGGCTGGGGAATTCTGGGAATTGATGTCCACAAGTCTTAAAGTTGCCAAGTTTGAAGACCTCTGATCTAAGTGGAGAGATTATAGAGGGAAGGGATTATAAGAGAGTAAGTTCTGATGGCTGGGGAATTCTGGGAGTTGATGTCCACAAGTCTTAAAGTTGCCAAGTTTGAAGACCTCTGATCTAAGTGGAGAGATTGCAGAGGAAGGGATTATAAGAGAGTAAATTATGCTGGCTGGGGAATTCTGGGAGTTGATGTCCACCAGTCTTAAAGTGGCTAAGTTTGAAGACCTCTGATCTAAGTGGAGAGATTGTAGAGGGAAGGGATTATAAGAGAGTAAATTCTGCTGGCTGTGGAATTCTGGGAGTTGATGTCCACCACTCTTAAAGTTGCCAAGTTTGAAGACCTCTGATCTAAGTGGAGAGATTGTAGAGGGAAGGGATTACAAGAGAGTAAGTTATGCTGGCTGAGGAATTCTGGGAGTTAATGTCCACCACTCTTAAAGTTGCCAAGTTTGAAGATCTCTGCTGTGGCGGATTCAGTCTTTGCACCGCCTACAAGGTGCCATGTGGAGTGAAAGAGTGGGAGTCCATGATTGTCTTACATTGGGAAAATAGAGGGGCTCTTTCAGAGGCCTAGCACCCCAGGCTCACCCAGAAGACCCCCATCAAAGGCCCCACTCAAAGCAACAGACCCTACTCGCTCCTTGTGATGTGATGGGCGGCAAGCTAGTTTAATAAAATACACGGTGACGTCATCCCATCCTTGCTAGGTTCTCTCAAGAGCCAGCCTTCCTCTCTCCTCTCAAGGTGGAAGCTTATTTTTAAGGCTGGCTTTAGATTTTGCTGTGGGCACCGCAGAACTGGGCTGGCAGGCGTTATGGTCCAAAGGGACCTGGCATGGCAGTAGGGTCAGCTCTTGGGCGCTGGCGACAGCGTTGAGCTTGGTTGATCGAGTTCAGAAGCAGAGCCTGGGGTGTGCAGTCTGGGCACTCGCTGTCCCGAAGGATGGCCAAAGCTAGGAGAACGATGCTCCTCCAGATGTGGAGGACATCTGGCCTGGCCATGCGTGGAAAAGATGCTGCCGGTCGTAGCTTGTCAACATCAGGAATCGTTTCTAACCTGTGGGATTCATGAGGGCTTGTAGGCTTTGTCATCTCTAAGACCAGGTCAGGTGGGGATGTTCTCAACCTCTCCTTGGTGTAGCTGGGAGTCTCCATTTTTTCCCCCCAGGCCTGGAGTGTCCAACCTGGGCGATTTTAAGACCTGAATTCTGGGCGTTGGTCCACAGGTTGGACACCCCTGGCTTAGTCCCAGGGCTGAGTGCAGCCTTCCTTCCTTCTCTTCCAAAGTGGCTCTACCTTCTTCTCTCTCTCTCCTCCACTCATTCCTGGCATACTCAGCTGCTCTGGGAGGCTCCCGAGTTGAGGAAGGGGCTTCTGCAACTCCTTATGTATTTAAGCCCTTCCAGTGGCAGCTGTTTCACTGCAAGGGGGGGGACAGGACTGAGCACAGCTGCAGGAAGCTCTTGGTCCGACTGTTGACACCCGATCCCTTAGAAACTCCCCTGACAGGGAGCTTTTACGAGTCTTTTTTGCATAATTTCTTATTTTTTCCTTTCAAATAGATTCGCAAATCTACATTCTTATAAATACTATTAACATTTATCTATTAACTATTAACATTTATCACTTTCTTGCCACCCTGTGTCTCCAGCTTTATTTTGCAACAACCCTATTCCTTCCTTCCTTCTCAATCTCCCTTCTCTCCCTTCTTCTTTCCTCCTCTCCTTCCTCTTTTCTCCCCCCCCACTCCTCCTCTCTTCTCTTTCGTACCCTCTCTCCTACTCTCACTTCCCCTCCCTTACTTCCTCTGCTTTGCCCTTTTTTCCTTTTCCTCCTCATCCTCCCTCCTGTGACTTGTTAAGTTTCAGTGCCGGGGTAACGTCTGAGGGTCTCTAAACAAACTGTTGTTATGTGAGACAGTTAACAAATTCAAAGGCGCCAAGAATGAGCGCTGACGAGGCCTGCAGTTCCCTTCGGCTGGAGGGAGAGCCGCCTGCTTCCCCTGTTCTTGTCCAGGGTTTTGTTCTCCTGAAAAATCCCCCTGGACCTTTTCCTTGACGCTGCTGTGCTTGATGCACGTTGGTTTCCCGGCCTGGTGTTAACTCCGGTGCCCATCATCCTGCCACCCTCTTCTCTGACGCTCTTGCAGCCAGCTAAAAACAGCTGAATGCCAAGAGGGAATTCTGCATTCTCCCTGCGACGAGCCAGAAATGTGGGCACAAACTCATCGAGGCGGAGAGAGTTGGGATCTAATTTAATCTCTCTCTCTCTCTCTCTCTCTCTCTCTCTCTCTCTCTCTCTCTCTCTCTCTCTCTCT